TAATGCTATAATTAATTTCTTATAACATGTTAAGAGTTTCCATCTACAGTTCCTCCTTGAATTTATAAAATTACTGGCTCACTAAGAATAGAGAGTTTCCCAAAGTGATAGTACTTAGAAGTCGTGTTCCGGAAAAGTACTTTACCATTACGGACATTTTTCAAGCTAAGTAGACTGCAGTATCCTATACCACGGCCTTTCGCAGATGAGAATGAGTATTCGCCACGTACAATTCGCCCGATGATTGATCTGCAACAGAGTTAAGACAAAATTCCCGTTTAATTTGTGCAAAGTGCTTCATTTATGCAACTTATGATCGATATAAGGAAAAACGATAAAAAAGAAAACATAGATTCTCAAACATTATTGATCACTGGGCAAGAGTATAGTACCTAGAACAGCTTTCCCTATATGATTTTTCAACTGCCGAAGTGGAGGTGGCAACTCTGATCTCACGACTCGTTTCTTCACCGTCTTTTGTGGAAAGCTCTTGATTTTCGAATTTCTGTCGTTTTGCTAGTTTTGCCCTCTGACGTCTCCGCCGCTTCAGTGCATTCTTCTTTCTTATTCTAAAAGATTTTCCACGCATATGTTCAAATTAAATGGTCAGAAGCTCGAAAAATTATTGTGTGTCAGTCTTAAACTACTGAGCTGTAAGAAGTTAGCCAAACAATACTTGAGAATTTCTTTATCTGGGAACATTTCGTTAAGCGACACTAATTTTTCGTTACCACTTAATTCAATAAACCCCTTTTCTCCATCAGCTTCAGAAGACATCTAAAAAAAACAGAAGTAAGTAAAAGAATGCAGTTTCCCTGCCAGTAACATAAATAGAATAATATTTTATCCTGAACCTCAAAAACAATTTAAAAAAGTGGAAAGTCAACTGTTTTGACAAAATGAAAAGCATTCTAGTCGATGCGGAATTACAGCTTTAAATGGATTATTAGTTTCTTCCGGATTTTGAGCACGTTTGCATCCTTCAGTATTTTCAGAAATTGCGTTCGAAGGTATATCCCATAAATAAAGATCATCTTCAGTAGGAATACATATTAAACAGTATCGTAGAGGACGGCCTCGTTTTTTAGCTTCAACCTGTACCGGTACTAGTGAACATGAATGTGCATCCAAAACTGCCGCTAAATTTGAAGAAAAAAGTAAAATGCGACAAAAATTATAATGGTAGTAGTGACAAGTTATATGTTTGCTTACAAGGTTCTGGACCTTTTCCCCGAATCCATTTGTCTACGGCGTCAAGACATTTACGGTCCCTCAAAACATACACACTTTTTGAATTGGAAGTTTTACTGATTTCATTCTCATTCCAGTCCCTTACTAAAACAGGCCAAGCAAATGAAAATGGATATTTGACAAACAATGTCGAACGAAACTGCACGCGACGATTGTAAGGCCTCGACAAGTATTTGTGCTAAAATTAAAGGCGCCAAAATAAAAAGAAAATAAGTTTGTTTTAATAAAGATGAGGAAAATGTTCAAACGGTGGTGACAAATACAAAGCAAGAAGTTTGTATTTTGCCACTGGATATGAAAGGATAATGGTCATACACTTAATTGTCGATGGTCTTCCTTCATTTCTTTAATACCTGAGTCGCAATCCGGCACATCGGATGGAAAATGGAAAAGGCCTGATTCAAATCCAAAAAATTTTTGATCTCTCAGTCCTACGGCCCGGGCTGTGCCATATTGCAATGCCAGCCAGAAATCCAAACCTAAAGAAGCGCTTACAAATACAAAAGAAATTTTTGAATCTAATAAGATTCATTTAGTGAAAGTTTCAACAACTTACCAAATCCAGCAGGGACCACTAAATCAACACCTGTTGATGTTTTTGTTGTACCAGAACCCATATTACGCGTCACTAACAATATGGGAATCTGAAAAATAATAAAAAAGAATAAAAAGAAAATAAAGTATAAAATCGCTACTACACTTAAGCATGAACTTCACTGCCAAGAAGTTTCCTAGTATAAGACAAAAGCGAGTCGGTCACTTAGAGACGACTGAAGTGCTCAAAGCCAACCTTACAAGAACTAATACTTCCAGTGGCTAAATTATTACTTCGACGTTTTTGCAGCTCCTCTACACTAATTCTTGACTCCAAAACCTAAAATTCTTTGTCATACATTATAATGAAACAAATGAAGCAGACCTTCAATATCGACTATCTTTAAAAATCTGACTGCTTTCCACTCCTAACCACAACTTCGTAATCAAAAAAAAAAAATACCGGATATGTGGTTTTTTTAAAACGATCACATAAGTCAGCTGAAAAGTACCTCAATAAGATACCTATGCTTCCATATTTTTGTATTACCACCCCGAAATCAAAATTTGTTTCCCCGAGTCAGCCGCCTCAACACTACATATTTCAGAAAACTGTTAGGTTTTTTTTCTTAAAATTGTTTAAGTAAGAGATGTAGCTCAACAGCTCAGTCCCAGGTAGAAAGAGCGATCTTCTGAAGATTTCAGAAACGAGTGAAGAACTTTAGCAAAGTCAGTAACGTAAAAAAATAAGTCTACGAACTAAAAAAGTTAAAAAAACAGAAAAGAAGAATACCAAGAAGACGAAGAAAACTTCTCTCGACAAAGTTAAAGAAATTACAGTAAATGAATTAAAGATATAAGGGTAGATAATATGCGATATGCTGCTGATAGCCCAAAAATTTTCCAAACAGATATCCGTAGGGGATTAAAACGGCAAATTTTATAGAGCTAAATAGGCGGCTGAAAAAGTCTAAAATGTCTTCTTCAGGAGAGACAGTTTGCATCACGTGTTGCGTCTTCTACCGTCTTAACCAACTTATGTTGGCCGTTGGGTAGTTACCGTACGCAGGTTCCATCACACAATTATAATTCAGACTAAAGAAAAAAATAAATTAACTATTAAACTGTTGTAATGTATATACCGATTTGCGTTTTTCAGCATCCCAAAAGTCTATTACTGAACCCGGAAGTGCTTCTAAATCAAACGGGAACCGCCGAACTCCTCTCTTTTCGGTTGGTTTACACTTACGAGCAGGTCGGCTTACGCGCGGATCAGAAACCAATAAATATAAGACTAAGCCATTGGGAAATTCACCAAAGTCTCTACCGCATACACGCCTTTTCCAGAAAGTGTTA